TTTTTAATACTATAGTACGATGCTATAATAGTCAATAATCATTAGTCTATTGTTCATACATCTCAATACAAAATGAATATGTTTTTAATCTAAACATAAAATAATTATTTAATAGTTATTATGTGATTAAAGGTGAATTTGAGAATTAATACATATTATAATTGTAAAATAATATAAGATACTTAGTAGCTTATTTAAAAAGATGTTTTACCGATCAGTACATTAAAGTTACGTATGAATTTTTTTGTGAAAATAATTAATAATTAATAACAATATTATCATGTATCACTTTTTTGCAAAAATTATATACGTAATTTTTAAGTAACATTTAATAAAAATTATTGCATGATATTGTCATAAATACAGTTTTTTTATTCAAGAAGAAATTTGAACATAGCAAGAGTATATGTATACGATGATATTTTGCTATAAATGAGTGACACAATAATAATAAAATATAATTAAAATTCAATACTTGAAATTGATTATTTATTATTTTTTAAAAATGCAAGAATTTCATAGTCTGCATATGTATAAAATTTACATTAGAAGTTATTAGAAAACGCGAATCAACAAACCGTCTTTAAGAATCAGAGTGTGCATTGGATAGAAATTATCATCAGAAATCATTACTGTTTTTCGTTCGGATTAAAAATAGTTTTCCAAAAATTTTCCCTTTTCCCAATCTTCTCCCTCTGGGTTCATTCTGCCGAGAGCAGCCGGCCTATCGTGGGGGCAGATTGCACTCTTTAGTAGACTCGACTGGAAACATTTGCCACATGGCGCAGCTGCGCAACTCACAAGACCGCGGTGTCTGTTTCCAATTCATTTTCCGTTGAATTTTCCCTTTCATTCGATCAACATGGCGAAGGTACAACGACCTTCGAAAATTGAAATACAGAAACGACTCGACAAAACGATTACTATTTGCTAAAAAAAATTATCCAATTTAAAAAAAAAAACAGTATCTGTTTTTGTCAGTCATGTCGTACGCGAATGTATTTATCTCATCTAGTTATTAAATTTTAAATATCGCATTTTTTCAATAAGTTATATGTTATATCTATACTTTGATTATACTTCATCTCTGCGCAATTAATGATCATTTTTTTAATTTTTTCATATACAATTTACATCATTTATATTTACACAACTTATATTACATTAAACACACATTCTTTGAAAAATTTTTCGAATGATATGACAAGTTACATATCATCTGCTAAAAAAAGTACAAATGGCAGTATGACTATTTTATGGTGCAATCTTATAATGAAGGTGCGTAAACAAACTATCGCGTAAAAACATACAACAATAAGAATTAAACTATAGCATTGGTACTTAATGATATTATTTTATGATAAGAGAGAGAGAGAGAGAGAGATCACATCGTTCGCTCTTTACTCACTTGAACTACCCTCGAATTTATCAAGTCGCTTCAACAAGTAACTGTTATATAGGTCACGTAACTGTTGCAAATATTTAGAATAACGAATAGAAAGAAATTAGGAAAATTAGAAATTAAAATTTTTGATTTTCATAAGTGTTTCATTAATAATAATGTAATTATTTTCTAGTATCTAAATACTAAATAGAGACACAGAAGAATTTAATAGTAACCGCAGGGATGACTGACCACACAATCAGAACAAAACCATAGACCCGAGTTCAACACACTACCGACATTCACAAACATTTATACCTCACGCACACTCATGTATATCCTTTTTTGCGAGGATAGTGTAATAATGTACAAGAAAGAAAAAGTAGAATATTAAAAAAAATAGAGTATAATCTAAAACACAAGAATGAGAGGACAAAAAGTGGGGGAAAACACTGAGAGAACGTGTGCCAAGGTAATGACGTAATAACATGATTCCGCTAGCGTTGAGTTGAAGAAATATTTTCCGAAAAAATGTTCATTAGTATTTCTTTTTCCAGCTTTTCCGCATTTTTCAGATAGCGTACCGTGAATACACGACATTACGACGCGTACGCACGTGAATTGTATAATGCGGACGGTGTAGTTGACGTCACACAGTAATTAAACCGCGTTCGCTGGCGACTTGCGTTCTCGCTTCTCGCTAATTAATCGTAATTTATTAACGACATCTCTTTGCTCGGCGTTCGAGTACGGGCAGGTGAATAGAAACAACATGGGCGCGGTTTCTTCCTTTTTTCGTCCTCTTCCATGGCTTTGAGCATAGTACCCTGACCCTGGGCACATGGCCAGCTGTCTCACTCCACCCCTTTTGTAAGAGGCACACACTCTAAGAGTGGGATTTGTCTATCCCTGCGCAGGCAAAGAAGGAAAGAGAGAGAAAGAAAGAAACAGAGAGAGAGAGAGAGAGAGAGAGAGAGAGAGAGAGAGAGAGAGAGAGAGCTGTATGGTGCGCAAGGACGGCAGGATCGTTGGGCGAGAGAACCAGGGCGAAGGAACTTTTGTGGAGCCCGCGGAATAATTAGCATGCTCTCCTCAGCAGCCTAATTTTAATGGAACACCGACATACGGCGTTTCATATTGTAATTCGTCTTACATTGTAGCGCGCTCGCACGGTCTTGAATATTATTATCTACCGCGTTTCCTCCAGCGAAATCTTTACACACGCTGTAAAGTATCATGTATGTATATCATATGCCGCTATACTGCTCAATTGAATCCGAGCATCCTGAAGAAATTTAGATACAAAACTTCTTATGTGAAGTACTAACTTCATTTACAATTAAGAAATTTTCGCGACATAGTAACATTCGTGTATATGAATTAATTTGTACGGTACTGAAGTAAAGAATGAAAATTTATAGGAAAAGACACTTATTTTATTCGTAATTTTCACAAAATTAGGATAAACTTGTATCTTGTATAATATAAACATGATATCTATAGAAATCTAAATTAGAAAACAAACAATAAGTATATCACAAAAATACATTGTTCCTTAATTGAAATTATACAAGTATGTTGCGTTCTCGCTTTTTGCTAATTTGTCAATGAAACAAATAAATATTAAATAATCAATTTTTGTTGCAAACGATATGAAGTTTGTTTACATTGTAACGTTAAGTCATTTGTCATATGCTGAAGACGTGGCAATTCATATAAAAAAATCTTTGATGAGAAATCTTAATAGATATTTCGACTGTTTCTTTGAAATGGTCAACGGCATAGGTATATATATGTTTCGGACTTCCGACATCTAAAAATTTATTACAAGTATTTATACGCGCTATTTCTTACGTGTTGTTAAGCAACGATTTCGTATGTAAAAGATTTTTATAAAATTTTTCAAGGTCTTCGCGATTTTCCAAAAACACCCGGTAGATTTCTGCAGACCTAGCGTAGAGGTGCGAGAGAGAACACACACGCGTAACGCATTCGTACGAACGCGCATTCGTGGTGTGTGCGCGATTGGCGCGAGGCGAAAGAGAATGAGAGAGAAAGGAAGAGGAAAGTCTCGAGAGGAAACGAGCGAGTGAGCACGCATGCACGCTCCCGCGCTCGCGTGCACGCATGGTAGGCACGCATGCACGCAGACGGAGCGCGTACTCGGCTGCGAAAACCGGCGTGCGAAAAGCAGCCAATGGCGAGCAGAGGCGGGAATCGGTGGGGTCACCCACGTGGTTAACGAACGGCCAATCCGCGCTCCATCGCTGGTGGATTTCGAGTTGGTTTCCCGCTCGGTACACCGCGTTTGCGTTCGCGCACGAGAGAGACGAACAAGAGAGAGAAAGAAAAAGAGAGAGAGAGAGAGAGAGAGAGGAAAAAAGCAGGAGAGTGCAAGCGCGAGCAAGGAGAGAGTCACGAATTCGCAAAAGAAGGAGAGAGAGAGGGGCTAGCGATGGCAGAGGAAAAAAAGAAGAAGAGAGACGAGTTTGCATCGCGTCTCGGCTGCCCCCCCCCCCTCTCCCCCTCCCCTATCCTGGGAGGCAAAGGGGTGAAGGAAAAGGACAGAAAGAGGGGCACAACATGCCGAACGAGAGGAGCCCCTTGGACATCGTGTTGTGGTCTAGCTAAAGAGAGGAGAGCTTGGGAGGAAGGTAGGACGTCGTCGTCGCAAGGAGAGCGAGAAAGAGTGAGAGACGCGGGAGGGAGGGAGGGGGGGGGGGGATTCTGTGGGCGCCCCCGGGGTGGACGGGGGGGAAAGAAAACTTGGAGCAATCGGGGAGAGCCATTTCTGCGAGGACACGCCGCCGGCCGGTCTCCATCGTCGTCGGTTTCTGCGATCGAGCTGCTGACGGACAGCCACCGGAAGCGCGTCAGATTCGCGCAACAGCGCCGCGTTTGAGTCGTCAGAGAGACAGACGGATAAAAGTAGAGAGAGAGAGAGAGGGAGTGAGAAAAAGAGAAAGAGACCGCACACACAGTCGTCGCCTATCCGCGGATCGAGCGGCTCGCAGTCGGCCAGTTGAGGCGCGAGGAAGCCAGCAGCGGAAAACAAAAGAAGGTGCCACAAGCCCGTCGAGGACCGATCTCGTCGCAGAAGTCGTCCAAGGACCCCGTGCATTTTGCCTCTCGCGTGTGCAGCCCGTGACCCACACGCGATCCGATCCACGTCGTGTCCGGGATCCAGCCAGCCAGCCAGCAGTTACAACCGCTCGTCTCGTTCCAGTAAGGATACACATCATCGGACGCCTGCAGCTCCTGCCAATCTAATCCCGCGCGATTGCTCCACACTCTATCGCCGGTACCATACCATCGCAACTCCATTCTCCTTCCGTCATTTTCATCGTTCGCGTCAATCACCAACAACGGTCCTGTGATCATCGCGATCATCGCCCGTCTCGTGTCGTGTCCGCGTCCGCGTTCAAACCATTTCCCGCCGCGGGTCCACGTAGACCCCGAGTCTACGACGAGGTCAGTACTCGGGGAATCGGGTACGCGAGTCCGCGCGCACGCGCACCGAATTCGTCGTTTTCGTCGAACCTGATATACACGTGACCGAGCCGCGTACTCGGTGGAAGCCGGCATCATAGCGTCGAAAAGCGAGCAGCCAGCCACCATGTCAAAGCTCTACGTGGGCAATCTGCCGTCAGATTGCAACGAGAGCGCTCTCAGGCAACTCTTTCAGGAGCACAGCCTGGCATGCACCACGATCCTGGTGAAGCGTGGCGGCTACGCCTTCGTCGACTGTGCCGATCAGTCCACAGCCGATCGGGCGATCGACAAGCTAAACGGTGAGTTGTTGACATGAAATTAATTATGCTAACGCCTTTAATGCTTTCGATTATGCTTTACACATTAATGCTTTCCATCCTGACGACAACTACGACGACGACGACGGTTACGGCGAGAGAGAGAGAGAGAGAGAACCAGGAGAGGAGAGAAGAAGAAATCGAAGAAAAACATTCATCTGCTTCATATCGCTTTGCCAATTATTATTTGTATACTAATAAAACTTTTACTGCTTTGCCATCTATGCTACTGCTTTTCCCCCGAGCTTATGTAACTTGAGCTTATAAACCATAAATACTAGTCGATTTGTTACATCTATTTATAATAATGTCCTTAGCGCAAAGATGAAGATTCTAACGAAATCTTTACGAGTCGCCTGAATTATAGAATTAATGTTAAATCCCTTGCTTTATCCTGATCCTAAATACCCGTATTTTGCTTAATGCTGTTGAAAATGGACCTCTTTTGCAATGATATTTAACACGCTATGCTTCATTTAGACGCTTTTTGCTAGAGCTTAAGAACGCCGAGTAGATATAAGAATCTGTGTAGCATGCTTTCGATAAATTTTCTAAATACTAAAACACGGATATATCGTTAAACGTTTTTTAAAAGGATAGCCAATATGTCTTGTCATGTCCCTAGAAAGATTTTTTGTGAAAATATCTGTCAGGTTATTGTCACGTCGATAGTTGACCGTCAATTTTTTCCGACAGACGACGTGCTTTAACGTGAAGTTAGAGAAGATCGAAATGTTCTCCGATATGTAACAAAATAATAACTGACGACGTGACAAACAAAACTGTCGATATTATCATCGTATTCAAGCATAAGTTGTTTCTCATGTGCATATTATAAAGTTCTAGTTACTTGTTAGGTAGAAACATTAAACGTAAATAATTATCACAACGTTAGAATGATTGACGATTGGCAACTTCGTAGGAGTAACCTTACGTTTTGTATGTGAAAAGAAATTTAAGGACCCAAATTCGCGCATTAATGAAAAAATTAGATTTTCCTGCCACAACTTTTATTGCTGATATTTAAAGGTGACTTTGTGACCAGTGAAAAGAGATTGAACAATTCAAACGCGACTCATTCGATCGTGTTGGTGATAAACGGACAAATAGTGATGTGTAAACGAATATAAAAAATGTTTTCGATAGCACTGTACGTATTTAAACTTCTTCAACTTTATTTATCGATGAGACGAAATTGAAACTTTACGAATAACCGACGTGAAGTGCGACGAGCGAATTTATGGTCGTGCAGAATTAGGATATCACCGTGAACGCGCGCGAAACTGACGTTATATCTCGCACGACCACTCGTTTCCTCCATGGCTCCATTCATGAACAACGAACACGAGATTAGGTTTGAGAATAGCTGTATCACCAATTTCGGTTTCCGCCGAAAAAAGACGATTCTTTCGCAACCACGAAGTTTGAGTGTCCTCGACACGCGGCATTCTCAAATTCCTTTCCATTTCGCCAAATCACGTCGTGTGCTCCGACTCGCGCTAAAAGATCCGATAAAAGTGTCAGATGTACAAAATGTGATGTATTTTATCTCGTCAAAGTTTATTTCGAAATCAAGCTATTACGATTACCAGTAGTGATATTCCAAAAATTAATTAACTCTGAGAATATAAGCGCGCATTCTGTAATAAAATATATCTTACAATTAGCAGCACGATTTATCGATACAATATTATTATCGCTTCGGTATTCATTTAAATTTGCTTTTGAATTAGACATCGAAGAAAATCATCAAATTGAAATATTTTGCCAGTTTTTTAAATTTTTCCTTAAGTAGGGGGCGAGACGGTTCCGTCTGCTCCAGTTTAATGGAAAACTTGTAACGAATTCGATTGGACGCACTCAGTGCGCACTGATGCATATTAAAATGTGCCATCGTACAAATATGTGTTTAATATAAATATAAAAACGAATTAAAGCACACAAAATCCTCGACACATTTTATCGTGCTGTTAAGTAAAATCTGTATTTTATAATTTGAAATATTTGTACTCTTTTACACAGATTAAATCGGTGTACAACGACTTTAGTATGCAATAGCGTGTCCAATTGAGTTTGCTATTATCCACGTGGTAGCATCGTAAAATGGCGCCAGTTATGAAGCGACAAGGTCACGTTTGTGTGCTCGCCTCCGCGATAAGTTGCTGATAATCGCACGCGTCGACCAACCGTTGTCGATCGGTCCGATTACGGGTCTGGTTCTTCCCGCCAAAACGAAAGTTACGTGCACACTCGAGGGATTTATGTGGTAAGACGGTTCTTCTCGGAAAGCCGAACGTTCGAACGGACAATCATAGAGTAGCGTTTTCTACTTTGCACCTAGAATTTTCGATAATTGCTTTCCAAAGGATCATTCCTTCGGATGAAGGAAGTTCTGTGAAATTCCTCTTGTATGCCAAATATTGATTTAAATTTTCAACACCAGGAATAATTTATTTCAACATGCTTGCTTTTCATTACTATAACAAATTTTTATTAGAAAATCTAGTAGAATATTACAAACGATAATTATTGCAGAGTTCGTTAAAATTCGCTTCGGAATAAGACTCTAATATCTTGGCTTCTGTCCATCGATGTTACTTTTCGAGACATACGACTCGCAAAAATTGTCTGCCGAGTGGAAGTTAACTATGCGTGACGAAACGTCAGACGGCTGAACGTATCCGTTAATCGCTAGACTGCCGGCGACTATAACTAAAACGATATATTCTACCCTTCGTTCAGACATCTAAATGGTATATTGTACCTAAACTTGATATTTTCGTAGAAAATATTCCCTATCGAGAAAGGAAAAAAAAATTAACGCTCATAACATTCGAAGCATTCTTTGGAAAGTGAATCCTTTTCTATGCAAGAATTTATTTTATAAAGGAAATTAGTAACATAGTGATATTTTGCCGAACAGTTCGAAAGACTATAAGATTAGAAAAATCTAGCTTAAGATATACGAAAGATATGCTTTTCAAGGAACACACAAAGTTAAGAGAAAGTCAAAATGATAATTTCGTATTACAAAATTGGACTATTTATTGATGTTAAGAATGAAAATAAAGTAATTGTGATTTTTTTGTTGGCTCTTTGAATTGACACGGTCTTTAGATAGGGCGAGAGACAGTTCTCTGCGAGAATATAGCTCTGTAAAACATGTGTTGAAAAACGAAAGATATTTGACAATCTACGTACGTTTCGTATTTTTTCGCGCCGGCTCATGCCGGCTTCTCATGCCGGCTCGTTATCTCGGTATGGTCCTGACCTAATGTTCCCAACTTATCCCGTCGATCGTGAGAATTTGGACCGGCACTTGACTTCGAGGCTCCGAGTCACGCCCGCACGAATAGTAGTCGGTCGGCGCGGCGCGGCGGCGCGGGTTCTCCCGAAGAGAAGAAATGTGGTCAAGGTCGTGAATGGTCGTGCGCGCGCGCGCGAGCACGCGTGACGTATGAAACTGCCTCTGCCGCCTCCGCCGCCATCGCGACCGCCGCCGTCGTCTCCTCCGAGGTTGAAATTTACATCGCGAATAGCCGCCGACCTCATCTTCTCGACTCTCCTCCGCCTTGCCCGCCGAAAAATCGGTTAGTCACACTCGTCACGTTCCGCAGCCATGCCTATTGCCTGCTATCCAGATCATAAATTTCATTGACAACTCTGTAGCTCTTGTATGCTCTCGCGCCCATCGCTGTGGCTATACATCTCGTTACAGCGTGTTTAATGCACGCATCGCGTCCAAGCGCCACGTTTGAGACCACGTTTCACCCTTGAACTTCTCTGACGAGAAAACGGTCCAAACTAATCCTCATACCGACGCGAAAGTCTCAGATATTGGAAAAAAAGAACTTAAAATTAAAAACATGTATCTGTTTTTTCGAAGCAACCTTGTGAAGTGAAGGCGATATATTCGATTCTGACTAAACATCGTCGAAAGATTGTTACTTTCAAAGAGAACTTTTATAATATCATATTAGATAAGATTTTCGGAAAAATATTTTCAAAAAGAATACGAATTTTTTCTATCAAATTGTTGACACGGATATATTTTTAATATCACAAATTTTAATGCATTTTTTTTTCATTTTTTCTTATATATTTTAATCTCGAATAACATTAAATACTTTTGTTACTTTCAAGAAAAAGAAATTTTTATTTTAAATTTCCGAATGAACCTTTTTGAAATATTTTTCTGTCACTTTGCAATTAAGATAAATTAAGCGTCAAAAATTTTACGTTGATCCTTTCTTATTGGACAGTTTTCTTGCATACAATTTCAGAATAGGATGATACATTTTTGAACGAAATATGATTTATTTCGTTTGATGATTTTCTTTAGTATTTTTCATACAATGAAATCAAGGTTACGTTGTCAAAAATTTGTTACAAATTTGTGAATCCTGAATTAAAATTTTATTTCATTCAAAATTGTTGAAAATTGAATCATGTTGAAAATTTTTTACCATCTTATCCTACATATAAAGTGTGCGAGAGCTACTTAGAAATAAGCTACAGGAAGGAGAGCCGGGAGCCTCTCTTGGAGCGATTCGTGGCGAATGCTTTCTCTCTCTTTCTCTTTCTTTTTTCCTCTCCGTCTATATTTCGTTAGCAATACGGTCGTTGCTTCTGCAACGTAAGGGCCGATCCTTGGATACAATGCCGCGCGAAGAACGTTACCGACGAGTCGAGGCCAGAACTAGTTTGGTGGGTTGTTGAGTTAGGTTTTAGGAGAACTCTACCAAAGCCGCGGTCTAATCAGGCTTTAGGCTTGCACGACGCTCTGTCTAGCGAATGATTGAGCTGTGTGCTCGTTCACGTCGTCTTAGAGTTGCGAGTATATAGAAACGCGAATTATAGACACTCAGTATCCATATTATGGAATATTAACACCAACATTATTAATTAAGTATTAATAACAAATTAATATTTTATTTCGAATATACGAATATACTTTACAAAATTTTATTTTTAATCCAATTGCATACACATGCAATAATCTTGATGGACAGAAAATGTTGTGTTATAAAATATAATAATAAGTAGCACGAAATTAATACAAATTAATTGATAAATTAAACAAATTTATTTTTCACATTTATTTAGCCACATCTTCTGAAAATTATAACTCTTAGAATTATTATCCGTAGTACATTTCTATAACAATCTATCAAACGTAGAAATATGATATATCATGGACAGATTATTTTTTTCTACAACTCACATTGTAAAAATATATTTGGTTGCTTACAATAATCTTCTGGCAACACATACAGGTACACGAAAATGTTTTCGGGAATTTTCTTAAAGGTCGCATTTTCCTCAAATTCTACAGACGATGCAGTAACGCGCCGTGTCTGCATGTGCGTGCACAGCATGCGTCTTCCTCTTTCACAGCCGGCGTTCGTGCACGCCATTCTGTTCAGTACGATCTCGAAGCCTAAAAGTCAGTGCCGAGACACCAACAGGAAGCTGCCACATTCTTTCATTCTGGCTGCCTCCTATTGCTTTCTTTTTTCCTCGTAATACGTTGGCTTGTATCGAATCGATCAGTCGTCCCATTATATCTTATAATTCTTGACACGAGATTCGCTATTTATTAAGAAAGCTAAAAAGTCACTCTCGAAATAATCTCGTACAAACCAAATATCTTATATTCTGTACTTATTTTTGTATTGTACATATATATATATTTTTTTTATCTTGAATGCTGAATATTTTCCTGCAGTGTGTTTTAATTTTGTAAAAGGGAAAAAGAATACGTATATGTATATACATGGTATATATTTGGTAGATTTGAAAAAATTAAATTTTCAATTTGATAAAATTTATGTATATTTAAAGAGAATGCCGCAGTTGCTATGATGGAGCGAAATGGCTGCCGAGTGCGAGGGTTTACACCCACCAATGCAATTCTCGACAGCTAGAACGAGCAGATGCTCCTAGGAATACATTATTCGCATCCAAAACTGCCTGTACTTAATACACCCCCTTTTCAAACGTCTGTAGGAGACGTCCCATTTGCTCGAGATGTTGCGCACACAACACACACACTCCCTTCCTTCTATCGAAATATATCTTAAACATAGGATCGCCTCATCCTGATTATAATTTTGGCATTCTTTGCTGTTCCAAAATATAGAAAATTGAAAAAATCTAAAATATTGTTGATAAAAATGTAAAATCTATACATACATTTATAACAAATTACTACAACAGAGGAGAAACGCATGAGAAGTACACGAGCTGTTTATTCTGAATTTTTATTTTGCACATGTCACGTTTTCAAAATTGTTATTAAGATACATCGCATCAGTTCGTATCCGTGTCCCGTTTGATTACCGCGTCACGCAAAAAACCCATCGTAATTTCCATCGTACCGTAATTCGACGCACCTCGCCTCGAAAATAAGTCGCTTAAACATCTCTCGTCTCGCCTGTCGCATAGAAGCATGGATCTCTTAAGCGAAAAAAGGAAGTACAATGACTCCGTATTATTTCTCGCACCTTTTCTCCTCCGAGCGTATCGCACGTACGTGCACGTATGTTTATGTGGCCGAATAAACATGTAAACCGCGCAATCTCTTCCTTTTTTATAATCGTTGCCCGCGGTCCGGCCGGCTTGATTTGTCGCGTGCCTGCTCGGGACCACCTGCCCCCGAAAAAAGTTACCTGTTAACAGTGCACCGGTAACCGACACTGATGGGACCTTACGATTTGCCTCTCTTCTTCGCACAGGCCCGAGTAGCCTACGGGCGACTGATTCCACCGATCGCAAACTCATATACGGCAGAGTAGCGGCGATCGTCATGAACCGAAAGTGCGACGAAGGCAGAAAAGAGAGCGCCAATTATTATAATGAGGGCTTTTCCAACGACGACGAACGCGATAATTATTGCTAACTCTTTTAATCCACGCACCTGAGAGATCGAGAGAGAAAGATATACATGTATCATTTATTATATCCTCGAAACTTCTCTTTGAAATTATCGCTTTTCAATTTCGTATAGAAAAACGCTAGACTTTAATTGATTACCGACATTTATCATATATGTGAAAAACTTATTTTCTCTATTCAGCGGTTCAAGTAAACATTTTGGAATTCATATTTAATTATTTCTAATCCTAGATGACGTTTTCGCTTTCTTTCAGCTCTTTCCTTTATACCTACTTGTTTCAAAACTTGCACTTGCGTTGCAGTGCAACGCGCTTCTCGATGGTGACGTCGTTATCTCCGTGTGGAAATTGGTATGGGCAAGATGCAATCATGACCGGCCATATGCGTTTGTCCAGGTTTGCACAATATGTCACCGAGACAGAGCTCGGGCATGCGATATCGACTAGTACAAACTGCTATCATCCCAGCTAGCTGCGGTATCATCTTAAGATTTGAATAAGACAGCCGAAAGTTTTTACCGATACACTATGATATACTACTTGTGGCTTTTCTCGTGCGATATGTTTAGAAATCTCCTTATCCCTTTTATTCGCAAACACGTGAAATTATTATGATAATATATCTCAGGTGTTTATGATAACCTTTTCCTTTAAGGAAAATTAGTTAGAATATTAAAAGAAAATTATATTATTTAATCGCAAGTAATCAATTATCATTTCATACCTAATTTAAAAAGCAGAATTGGAGTAGAATTTGAAATATTTTTTATTTCTGAATTAGAAAACTGTATTTAATTTCAATATAGAGTTTTCGTAGGAGATACACCACGAGGTGTTTGAAAAGAGGAAGAGAGTATACTATCTTTAGCATCGTGTAAAAAGACTGCAATAGTGTATCTCTCTTTACTCACGTCTTTCTTTCATCATTTTACTGTCATAAAGTTACTTCATGGTATTTATAAAACCAAATCTGAAAAAATATAAACGATTTTTATCGACGATCTTTTCATTGCTTTAAACTCAATTCTCCGAAATCTGGGGTTTTAAAGAAAGCGAATTTTCAATTTTAAATTATTCTGCCTCAGACTCTACAAAAAAAATAAAACACGTTTCGAATTATATCATTGTTAATCATATTTTTGAATGTAGAAAGAATGTTTTCCAGAATGTTTTCAGATTTTTTAGAGCATAAAAATTTGAAAACCACATTAACCAAGTTGGACTATGAAGTGTTAAAAGAAAATTTGATAAGGGAATATTTTGAGACTCTTTAAAGGACTCTTTTAGAGATGTTTCTTGCAGAAACTCATGTTCCAGATGTTCGATCTCTTACTCGTCACACTCATTCTCTATTTGCTTCTTAGTCTCCCGTTCTTTTTTTCTTTTTCTCTTATCATATTTATTTTAAGAACTTCTTCATGGCCGTCTCAAATACATAACTCTAAATCGCACTTATATTAAATCACACGATCATCTTTGGCAAAAATAATTATTTTCTTCGTAATGTATGTTACTCTTAATCTGTTTCAATTATTTTTGAAATAATTTTACATTTTTTCGATTTATTTATTTTATATATATTTTTCCTCTATTTTTTTCCTCAAATGTATTTCTCACTCTTTCTTTTTTCTCTTTTTCTCCGTTTCACTACCATTCACGGTCTTTCTCTCTCAAAATCTCACTGTCTTTGTCTACGTGACCTCTGCCCGGCTGCTCGGAGACACGTGTTTGTTTTAGATACTCGGCCATTGACTCTTCCCAAGCGCGCAGCGTCACTGTCGGAGTTTTTGGCGGAACGAAAGCATCTCGCGTCGAGATCGAAGCCGCTCCTGTGTTTCTACTCGTCCCAACAGCTCAGATTTAACGTTAAACATAGCTGGTCGATTTCTAAGTTTCTCGGTTAAACGAAAGAATGCGAACATCTTAATGGAGCAAGCCTCATTGAATTTCATTAAATTCTCAGTCTGACTCTTCTGCGTTTTGAATTTCACATTATACGTGAATATCGACAAAACACTTCATTCGAATGCTTCCGCAAAGTTTGATATTTTACTTATCGAGAAATCGAAATATCATTTTAACATCACACGCGAACCGCCACGGCCGAGTGTCCCGTTGATTCCTGTAATTACGACGACGCTCATCGTCGATGAAATCTGTCAATTAGCATCCAGAGTAGGTCAATAAATTTTGAGCGGATAGCAAAGTTGTATAATGAGAACCTTTCATGTTTCTTACCTCTTTTCTTTACTTCACCAGAATAATTCATTGATATATTTTCTGTAAGAAGTTTTTCTGTATTTTTCTCTCTCTTTTTATCTTCTTAACGAAAATTTCGAAAGAAAGAGAGAACATGTGAGAATGTTGAAAATGTTAAGATAAATCCTACCGTTGGTTTCTTTGAAGTGTTAATATAAAAGATTAAGTAGCCGTGTTGTGCGCGCGTGTACGGAGAATATAAGTGGACAATGAAACCTCGTTTCTTGGTCAATTTTAACCGGACAACGGTTTGACAGAAATTTCATTTAAGCCTTAATGATCGCGGCATTGAATAAGGAGGGATAAAGGCTCGCGATAAATGATAACGGTTACGGGGTTAAGGGCGATAGAAAGGTGGAGCACACAATGTCTGGCCCACGTGCGCATAATTGTCAGGTACACGCGGAGAGAAACCCAGGTCTTTCGACAGGTGTCAATGAACCGGTCAACGACGTATCCGCCGTCGGAGGATAAGCGACGAAGAGAAGGCGATAGCTCGGACGGAGGGAGAACGGGCGGAAAAAAAATACGAGCAAGGCTCGTTCGCACCTGCCTCGATCGTGCGAGTCGAGCTCACGGTGATTTCACATTTCGTGGTTCGCGAGGCAGACATGCCTCCAAATGCAGCACGAAAACCGATTTTCCACACACGAGAAAAGACGAGAAAATGACACGCAGCCATAACCTGACTAGGGAGAAGAGTAGGAAATCAGTGGCATTACATATGAAATTAAAAGAAAACCTGAAGCATTCTAGAGAAACAAAAAAATTAAATTGTTAATTTAATTTAATTAATTTAATTTAACTTAATTATTAGTTTTCAATTCCCTAAATATTCACAAGGGTTGCATTCAATTTCTAATTATATTATTAATTAGTAATTAATATAATAAGCTAAAACGTACATTTAGGCTCGATTTTTCATTATCTGATTAACTTGTGGTTAAGCTTAACCTGCTATTCGACATTATCATAGATACAGTCCATTGGACAAAATGAAAACTTAGACCTTAATGTGTAAAGAAATATCATATTCTAATTTCTAATAGATACGTAGAAAAAATGTTCGGAGATCCATTCACAGAATCTGTCGCTTACTTTAGGAAGCAGTGCTCTTTCTTCATGCACATTTCGCGATTTCATGGGAAGAGGGAGACGAAATGAAAGAATTATCTTCCATGACTAAAATATTCGGGAAAATTATGATTTCGTGGAATTTTACGTTTTTCAAACGTAAAATGGACCTCTCCACCTTAGACCAAAAAATTGTAGCAATTAGATATGCCTATCTCAAGAATGTATTTCATTCTTTTCAAACACATATTTCAGTATCATCTTACAGTAATTATTTTATTATATTTGATTATAAGTCATTCTTGTTTAACATCGTGAACGAAAATAATGGCAATTATATTTTATGGATATTCAGTTATTATTTTTCATCATTTATCTAATTAATTCTTATTTTAGATTTAATGTTATATAAATGCTGTTTTGCCCTTATTTATGATAATCTCTCTCTCTCTCATTAAATTTTATTTTATTTATTTTATTTTTATTCTACACGCAACACAGCTAAGAAGATAACAATTTCCTTAATCCCTTTAGATTTGATTTTAACAGAACTATATTAAAAAAATGTTTTTAATGCAATTTAAGGCCACTTTAATATGTAATTCATACTAAAAAACTAATTTTCATCATAATTAAATTCTTGATTAATGATAAGAAAACGAGTTGACTGCTTTGGAAATCTAGGAAAATAAAAATTATGGAAATTTTAGCTTAAAAGAGAATAGAAAAGAAGTTGACTTATACATATACAGAATATAATTAGTAATAGTGAAATAAATTTAGGTACGGCTATCTTAAATTAAAATAAATTAAAATATTAAAAAAATTGGAAACCTATCAGCCGATAATCACGCGTAAATCATCTAGTAATCTTAGTAGATAAGCGACAAAGAATTCCACGAAACTCATTATTTGTCTAATTAGATTAAAGATATAGCTCAGACATTTCGTATGTTACACGTCGCTGATTCGAGATAAAAGTTAACAAATCGATCTATCCATCGATGAAAATCACGTATATCGCGTACCCAAACTATACTATCAAACTGTCGGGACGTAGGCGACTCGGTGCCTAAGCAGAGAACCGCGTTCCCCGGTGCGAGAGGAGGACAGCAGTCCGCACGTCGAGAAAAATTACATCGGCACACCGCCATTAATCTCCGAACGAGCGGATATTATTTTAATTCTCAAGTCTCGGGCCGAGTCTCTTCCGAGAAACGCCGGCCTTTGTCCCAGCCGGCTGCCTAGAAAGAAAAGTGACCGAGTGATTTAATCTACGAACGAACGAACAGCGCGACCCTGGGCTCCTCTTCTGATGCTCGCGCTCGCTGTTTCCTCCTCTCTTATATCCTCTCTTCTCCTCTCGTCCGCCCGCCATCGGCGAGATTCGTTTTTGCTCGCCGAATTTGCGACGGCGGCGGCGACGACGGCGTGCTTGAACGCGGGACCATTTCTCGGGAAAAGTCGCGACGAACTTCCTCCGTTATTAAGAGTCTCTCAGTGTTCGCAACATTGCACTTAATAATGTTGAAGAGAGAGAGAACGTGGAACATTGAACCTGCTATAACCTCATTCAGTAATTCAATGGTCCGACATTGTTCAAAAGCTTTCTAGATAATTGAACATTGCTTTCGGGTAAAAACGAATTTCGATACTTATTTTCCGAAACTTTTTTATTTCAAAATCAAGCATATCTTGCAAAACCTTAACCTAAATACTTTGTTTTCTAAAACTCAGTTAATTTAGACAATAACACTAGTTTACAAAGTTTTGTGCAAGAGTTACACATAAAGAGTAAATATTGCTAGGATAATTTTCGATTCTCAGCCCAATCTGCGAAATACTTCCATCGGGTCCAGATTTTGAAATATAAGAAAAGACCTTTTTTCAATATTACATAATAAAGTTTTGAAATTAAAAAACGAATCAGAAGTATTGAGCTTTTAATTCTTATTTTTTATATGAGGAACTTTGCATCGATTTCACGTATTAAAGTTCAGCAGTAGTCGCATAGCGTACTTTCTCTCTCGTCCCGAAATTCCTTGGTAACGTTTCTCAATTATCATTAAATCTTGATAGAACCGTTCGACTCACTCAATTTAATTACTAAATTATCTCAAAGTTAGTAACATAACTGTT